AAACCTTGTAGGGCTTTAAAAGTAACGACTAGCACCTTGAAGCACGTCCGGAGACCAATGGGGAGCCAGTGCAGCTCGCGGTGGATAGGTGTAACATGGGTGTGTCTAGGTACACCCAGTATCGCTCACGCGGCTGCATTCTGGACCAACTGTAGTCTTCGAACACTCTTCAAGGCAAAAAACATAGTGATACATCACATGACACAATCAGGTTTGACACCCATGATTTAGAAAGAGGTACTATAATATTAATTTATGAATCCTTAATATAATACCGCTAATTTCAAATAGCCCTGTAGCCAAAACTGATCACAAACATTTAGCATTCCTGAATGGATGACAATCTTAAAAGAATAAAATTGAAGCAATATATAGAAATTGTTCTTTAGATTAGCTCTAAAAGATTTCAAATGCCACAATGATAAATTTCAATACACTGCCAAGCATTTTGACAAACAGAAACTATCGCTATTACTCAGATATCTGTGGTAATTTGAGCTAATACACATTGGAGAATCTGACCTCCAGGGACGTATGCATTAATCAGATCAAAAGCAAACATTTTGTTTCCACATAGAACTGTTTCACTTGTAGATCAACTCAACAGCATGAGCAATTGGCCATTCAGTTACTCTGTTTAAAAAAAAAACATCACCCTGTTAATCACAATGTGTAGCATGTTTTTTCCTCAATCATGGGTCCCCTACCAGAAACCTGGGAGTTTGAGGGTTCTGCACAGTAACTTAGCTGTTCCTAGCACCACACTCTTCCAGACAGAAAGCTCCGAATCATTCTCCCAACTTAGAAGATACAACCCAAATGCTCTTATCATCACTGGAACCACTTTAGTCTTTACTTTCCACATTCTCTCCAGTTCCTCCTTCAGGCCCTGGTACTTACCCAGTCTCTCGTACTATTTCTTCCTGATGTTGCTGTCACTTGATACTATACATCTAACATCACAGTTGGTTCTTGTCTGCTACAACAATATTTGGCTGATTAGCTAGTACCTGCCTGTCCATCTGGATCTGGTTCTTAGCCCTGTTATTCTCTATCACCTTCTGTGGAACCTTCCATTTGGACTTGGGAGAATCTAGCCATGCAGATGTTTCTGTACTCTATGCCAACTATTTGATTGTGGCCTTCAATATATGCTGTTCCTGCCCATATATTACATCCTGCCAGGTGTTGTACTGTTTCTGGGGCTTCTTTGCATCTCAGGTGCTATCTAGTGTGACATACCCACTTCAATGGATCTGATGATTAAGTGCTTGTTGTTGTGCTGCTATAATCAGTACCTCAATGTTGTCCTTTAGTCCAGCTCTTTCCAACCACTGATAGGATTTCCCAATGTCAGCCAACTCAGCTGTCAATGGTAGCCCATGCTAGGTCTTGTCTTAATTTTTTGTGTAACTTTGTCTATTAGATTTTTATCTTCAGTGCTCTGGATATCCATGATCTGGCCTTGACACTTAACAGACCTTGCCTGCTTTCTTTCCAGCTGATGCAGAATACAATCTCTGGATGTTCGACTTGGGGTGGAAACCTCCATACACGTTGTCCTTTGGCCAGCTCATTATACTGGCAGGATAACTGATGACTGACAGGGCATGCTGTTAATGGATCTTTTTCTTTCCATGCAGCTGCCTTTTCAGGACCTGTCTTTCTTTGATGGTACATGGATGCTGTGGTCTTTCTAGCCTCATCAGGTTCCATGTGACTATAGAAAATCAACATACTTGTGGTTGATCTGTATGTTGATATGTAGCCTGCTCGTTTTAACTACCTTCCCTCTCTTTACTAACATCCGGCTACAATGAAAATGAAATCCCAATGTCTTCACTGTAGATTGATGATCATGTGGATCAGTTTTCAATTGGGGGCATGAACAAAACAGGAAATGGTTTGTTTCCAATCTAAAACAAGTCATCATATTCCATTATTTTTTTTCAGGATAGACACTGTTAGGCAGAAACAAAACATGGAGTGTTTTGTTCTTCAGGCATTTCCTCATTCATTTTTGAATGCATTATGATTAAAGTAAGTTGCTTTTAAAATACACAATGCAAGAATGAGTGTTGCAACCCACTAAGATGTACATCTATGGGATAATTTAGCACTATTCTGCATGGATGCAGAAATATCTTCATTTAAGAATTATTCAAAAGAATCCCAACAAGAGAAATGTAAACTGATTCTATATAGTTGGATGAATCCAAATTGTTATTGTTTTAACATTTTAGATTTTAAATAGTTATTCTTTGAATCTTAAAATGTTTTTATATGTATTTTATTTGTCTTTTAACTCTTGTTTGGGAGATGCCCAAAGCTGGTGAAAGATGGATGGCTACATCAATGTTTTAAATAAATAAATATATAGAAATTGTGGTATGTAATAAAACATTCTTTCCTTTTGCAAGCACTTTGTACACATTTGGGTTTTTTTACACCTGTGTTCTTCCTGCTTGTATAGCCATGGGCAGAAAAGCAGGTATGAACTAACCACTAGTTTTTTGTAATGGAAAGCTGTGAGCTACACAAACATCCCAAATGAGCCATGCAATTCACCTATTACCACATTATTTCTCTTATTTGCTGCTATATACATTTCTTTTACATCTGTGCTATCACTGCCTTGGGCTTCAGGGAGCGTGCAAATTCACTCCTTCTCAATTTAAAGAGGTACTGAACTATAAAATTCAGAGGTAGAGGAAGGAAAGAATATTGTTGCAATTATCCAATTGTGAACAGCTGTAACTGCTATAGTAGCAGTAATAAATATAGCAGGAAGGGGCTGTGCAGAACACAGCAAGAGTAACAAAAATAAGATTGAGTGAAAAATAAGACTCATGAAAATAAACACGGTATAAACAAAACCTTCACAATTATTTTGGAAGAGTCACCTTCTCCAAAGGTGCACTTTGTTTCAACTGAGCTTCAATTCAAGCTCAATTTTATGTCACTTAGAAAAAAATTACTTCTGAATTTTTTGAACTACAGTTCCTATTCCTATAGTTAATCAGTTGCAGCGAAAGAAAATCAGTTGCAGTTTTTCAGCAATGTGTATTATTAAAAAATTACATAAAAAGTATAATGAACTTAAAAGAAAAATAAAGTGAGAAATGCGTAAACCTATAATGAAGTAGAAAAAGCCATATAAATTACCTTTCGTGTTCCTAATTTCTTCTTTGATTTTCATCACAGATCTTTGGCCTTGCTTTTCATTATTTCCAGCTGTTAGAAAAATCAAAACAGAAAATAATGAATAACTGACAACATATTATAAATACAAACATAACGTAATATAAAATACAGAAAAATTACATTGTATTAAATGTTTAGGTAAAGAAAACTGAACAATGAACAGTGAAATAATGCAGGGTGGTTTTTTACAGTAAATATAGTGATATATGTAGTATTTTCATAATGAAAATGGTTCTATGTCTTCTTTAATTGCCTTATTATTTACCGTAGTTGAAAATATAGAATATGATCAGATCACTGTGATCTTATAGTGGGAAAACATGCTTAACATAAATATAATGAGTTGAAATATTAATTCAATCTTTATGCAAATTTACCAAGACAGGATTGTAGAAAAAATGTAAAACAATTTTGCAAAAAAAAATATAACAATACAAAGAAGAGTATGTAGGCTTTTAAATTAAGGTTTTGTACCACTTTCTAGATAAATAATAGATAAATGTACCATATTAAAGTATAACTCAGTTGTTGCTGGTCCTATGCTTAGAAGAGGGAAAAAAAACAAATGAGGTTGGGTGAGACCGGAAGCTTATGTCACGGTGACACGATGGTCAATCTCGGGGCTCTGAGACTGCCGCCGAAATTCCAGATGCAGCACGGTCCAACTGGACCTAAACCGTCCCGAAGAGATGGTAATAGGAAGGGGCATATCCTGCCGATCCCAGGGAAACCCGCAAAGTCTCTGGTGATCCAGGAACAGCCCTTTTGCCAGCNCAGTCAGCTGAAGTGGCCTGCAGTACTGCACCCTAACCACTGTGCCACCTCGGTGGGAAGTGGGAAGAAAAGAGGGGAGGCAGGGGAAGGAGAAAGGAATAGGAGAGAGGGCAAGGAGGGGGGAAGGGGAGGAGAGAAACGAGAAGTGGAGAGGGGGGAGAAGAGAAGGAGAGAAGAAGGGGAAGTAGAATAGGGAAAGATGACAGAGGGAAGAAAGGAGGTAGGGAGGGGGAGGAGAGAGAGGGAGAAGAAAGTGATGGATAAGGATAAATATGGTGTATGGAGAGCAGAAGAGCTAAACAATTGTGTTTTGGGAGCTGATGGAAAGATGAATTGATGTAAACACAATAATACAAAATGATGTTGTTTATGTAATAGTATACATATGATTCTATGTTGTAAAAATATTTTTTTTTTACAAAAAAAAAATCTGCAAAACCATAACTTCACTTAAATGATGTTCATATTATTTGTCTACAAAGCAATCAGATTAATTCTGCTGGTTTTTTAAAAAAAAGAATGAAATGTGTATGTTGGACAATTTGTATGCAAGTAATAATGTACCTTGAATAAATATAGAATGCCTATATATGTCAAAATATCTGATCATTAGTTTCTGTACTGAGCTATATAAAGCAGATTTAGAGAAAGCTAATTGAATAATAATAACTATTATTATTATTTTGCATTGATAGATAGTGTCCCTCTAGAGTAGGGGTGTCAAACTGGCGGCCCATGGACCGGATACATGATGCATAGGCCACGCCCACTCTGGCTCCACAAAGGGAAAAAACGTTGTGATACATCATGATACATGTTTTACGATCGAGTTTATGATCAAATAATTACTCATTCCACTCCACTAATTAATTCATCTGCTAGCTACTTTTAATATGGTTATATAAATTCATATTTTATTTATAAATTTATATTGTATTGCTTTAATCTCATAAGATGCCCTGCAAGGAAATCTACTAAGATCAAGAATGGATAATTTCTGACTGATGTGACATTTATAATTTTTTTCCTGGAATTCTTACCCTGTCAATTCTCCATAACCAAGGATGGCAATAACATTTTCTATATCTGGAAGTTGGCACAACAACATAAAAGGTTTTATTGGTCTGCGTGCGTAATTTTGAAAAATAAAAATATATAACTACTTGCAATGTTCCTTTGGGAAACACGTTTTGATTTTCTTACCAGCGCTGCTTTTCAATTGCACAGCCTATTTCTCACAACAAAATAGCACTTACTAGTGTTAACAATTATATGTCTTGCTGTGCTGACAATATGTGCATAGAGAGCATTCATGCACAAAGCAGATAAATGCTTCTTTCTTGTAAAGCTATTTTCATGGTTGCATTTGGAAACTGGGATCCTAAATTCAGAATGGTAATTATTGCAAGACGCCATTTTCTCTTCCCGGATTGAAAAACGATAAGCGGAGAGGGTTGCAATAACATTGACAAACAACTATTTGACATTATGCATAGTTCATGGGATAGCGTGGGAAATTATAACCCCGTGCTTGTTTTTAATTAATAAATAACACATCTTCTCATTAATTAATTACAAGATTTACTAGCCACTCACTAACAATTTTGAAGGCCTTCTACGCCCCATGAAGGTGGGCGCAAGTAAGCCCACATAAATCATGATGCCCGTATCAAACTGATCATTAAATTCGCAAAAAAAGAAACCCTATGCATGCACGTGGAATATTGAAAGAAGATTACAGAGACACATCGCGGGTGGGTGGATCCTTCGGCGTCCCCGGAAGTTGCTTACTTCCGGGTTCGCCGACCAACCGGTTCGCGGGGACTGCCGCAAACCGCTTGAAACCCACCCCTGATGCAGGGGCACAAACAGGCCATGAGCATGCATGAGATATGCAAACAGGGCTGCAAGCATGCACGTGACACAAACAGGGCCACAAGTGCATGCACAATGCTCACAGTGATAAAAGAGAAGTTGATAACTAGACAGATTATTTGGGTATTAAAGTTTCTTTACCATGTGGAATGGGGCAAAGGAATGATTACCCTTAAGATTAGTCATTCTGTTTGCTCCACCTAACTAAAACAAATGAAACAGGATATTGGTACCAATACCCCCTGTGGGGAGGTAAATCAGTAATGAATGCCCTCCCTCTGTTTTGGGAGATTGTATATGAGGTCTACGTGACACAGGAAGGCCGGGTACTTTGGGAGGATCAATAAGTTGTCTAATCTTAAGGGTNAGAGAGGGAGAAGGAGGGGGAGAGGGAGAGAGAGGGGGAGGGAAAGGGGGAGAGAGAGAAGGAAAGGGAGAGGAGGAGAGAGGAGGTAGGAAAGGAAGAGGAAGGGAAAAGGAGAGAGGGAGAGGGAGAAGGAGGGAGAGAGGGAGAGAGAGGGGGAGGGAAAGGGGGAGAGAGAGAAGGAAAGGGAGAGGAGGAGAGAGGAGGTAGGAAAGGAAGAGGAAGGGAAAAGGAGAGAGGGAGAGGGAGAAGGAGGGAGAGAGGGAGAGAGGGAGAGAGGGGGGAGGGAAAGGGGGAGAGAGAGAAGGAAAAGGGAGGAGGAGAAAGGAGGTAGGAAAGGAAGAGGAAGGGAAAAGGAGAGAGGGAGAGGGAGAAGGAGGGAGAGAGGGAGAGAGGGAGAGAGGGGGGAGGGAAAGGGGGAGAGAGAGAAGGAAAAGGGAGGAGGAGAAAGGAGGTAGGAAAGAAGGGGAGAGAGGGAGAAGAAGAGACAGTGATAGAAAAGGAGAGAGAGGGAATGAGGGAGAAGGAGAGTGGGAGAGAGACAGAGAAGGAGGGAGAAGGAGAGAAAAAGTGATAGAGAAGGAGAGGGAGAAGGAGGGAGAAGAGGGAGAGAGAGAGAGTTTGCTTAGAGAGGATAAACACTGCAATGGTTCTGCAATTACATCAGTAACATTTTCTCTGAAAAATTAATGGAACATATTGTGTTTGGTCTATAGCGCCTGTCTTTGATATGCCCTATATGTCTGAGAAAGTCTGTGCTTGTGTGGGTGTATGTAGCTACAACTAAATATTTTTTTCTCTATGTACAGTATAAACACACAGAAGGAGAGGGAGAAGGAGAGGGAGAGGGGGAGAAGGAGGGAGGGAGAGAGAGGCTTTATTTTAAAGCAGCCTTAAAATTTGAGGTTCCCCCAAGGACACGGATGACAATTAACAGGACTTTGAAGAAACTTCTCGAGAATGAAGTGTCGCTTTCCTTAGCCCAGATTACAGTCTTTTATTAATTAGAAAGGCAATCCGTTAATTAACAGCAGAGCTCAGAAAGACGGGTGTACGCATGTCAGATGAAGTGTCAGATCTCAAATTCTCCCCAGGCTGCTGTTGTATATGCACATCGCCCGATGTGCTGCACTCCTCTCACAAAACAGAGTTATTTTGGTGGCTGAGAACCACCCTTGACGTGGCGAGGGTGCAAGGGGGCGTGGCAAAGTCATAAAGTAGGAGGAGCTATCTCATCAATCACATTGGGCGGAAGCTACATTTTCCATTTGGCCTGGGAAAAGTGTTAATTTCTGTTTTCTTTAAAAACAACAACACTGTTACGCCTATTTTTAGGATTACACTGTGATTTCTTTTAACAAAGGAAACGTTTCCAGCAATTGAGGTGAGAAAGGGTTCCGGGAGGCAGGGAAAATAGGAGTTTGCATTTGCAGGTGTCCTACCCTTGTCTCGATTTGGGGTTTCAGGTGATTTTTTCCACTAAAAAGTAAAGGCAGATTTACAACTCGTTCCTCAACAGGAGTTGTCCAATAGGAAAAAAAAAATGGAGTCCTTACCACTCAAAGACATTGATTAGTTACTTAGGATTATTGGAAGAAATGTCCATCTGGGTTCAAGACACTGGAAACATGGAAGCTGCTTGGAAAGATGGTGTTTAATGATGGACAGGATCACAAGGGTTGAAGTCCTGGGCAAAAAAAGGGGCAGAGATGCTGAGAGTGCCCGGGTTTTATGCCTTCTGTTGGGCTTTGAATTTGAGCTTGTGTTCTGATTGGTTGTCAGACTCCCCTGCAGGGGTAACTCTGTAGGTTGTGTTTTGAGTTCCAAGTTTGGTTGAGCCTTGCTGGGCGATGATGTTATGAAAGGGCTTTGGGCAATTCCGCCTATGACTCTGCCTGAAGGGGGTAGATCTTTGCTATGTAGAATAGGCTGGCTCAGGCCTTAAAAGCCCATTGACCGGGGTGGGGGGTGGGTTTGAATTTCTGCCTCCCTTTTAGGGGAAATATTCTGCCCTTAT